CTAAACCCTAATCCCTGAACCCTAATTTCCTTAATCCCTACTCTCTAAACTCCAAAGCTTCCCAGGCGAGCGGCACCTCGGTGCCAAGAGTGCGACGTGCGATTTGCCCTGCCGCTTCCCTGGCCGACTTTGGGAGCATGGCTGGAAGGTCCAGGGGGTTTAGGGTTGAGGGTTTAGGGGTTTAGGGGTTTAGGGGTTTAGGGTTTAGGGTTTAGGGGTTTAGAGTTTAGGGGTAGGGTCTGCCCTAAGCGTTTTGGGAGGGTTAGGGTTTGCAGGGTTTAGAGGTTTATAGGTTTAGGGTCGAGGCAGCGGCGGACAATTGCCCCAAACCCGAGCACCCGAAAGCCCCGAGCCCAAATGCCAGCCTAGAGCCCTCCGCCCCTGCCGTAGTCTGTGTTCATTAGCCCTGCGGTAGTCTGTGTTCATTTGAATGTTGTCTTTCCTTGTCTATTCTAGCATACTGTAGTTGTAATCCCGAAAGGTTATAACAAGCATTGTTTTTGTGTTTGGTCCAAGGGGCTTACAGTCATACCTTCATTGAAAGAGAGCGGCTTGGGGCGTTCAGGGTCTAAGGTTTTCAACTTAACCCCCCTCCCCCCAAAAAGTTACACTCAACGCTTCAATCAAGCTCTCTCACTCTTAAGCCCTACACTCTTGAAGCATGAGCCCTAAGCCTTCAACCCTAGCCCAAAACCCTAGGTCCACCGCCCTGTCTTGCAGGCCTACATGGAAGAAATCGGAGGTGTCGGGCTCAGCAAGGTATTCCTCACTGTTTCCATGAGAGCCTGACCATGGAACCTGATGCTGTTCAAATCGTTTTGGGGCTTATTGCTTTTAGAGATCGGTTTTCGGGCTCATGCTGTTTTGGCTTATGGCTTTTGGGGTTCAGGTGGCTGTAGATTTGGACGCAGGTGCAGGTCTTATGGTTGAGGGAGGATCGAGGCGGCCCTTCTCAGACGTCGGTGCTTAGAGATGTATGGGGTCTGAATCATGAGTATTTTTCGAGAAGCTGCTTCATTATGACTGTAGCTATACTTATGCGACTTGTACAATAATATACCGATATACCCCCCCAAACCCCAAACACCCAGGTGTCTGAACCTACGAGGCCAAAGCAGACAAATCCTAAGCCGCGAGAGCTGAGGCTCTGAGCTCAGAAATTGAAATCTTGATGCAGAGAGCAAAAGGATGGATGGATACGCCTGGTAAGGGAGTGAAACATGATAGTGTGCTAATCTAGTTCTCTTGCGTGCATCTTGGCAAGCCTGATGGCAACGAGTCTTATCAGCTTCCAGCTTGGTCTTGTTGCAACCATGAAGTAGGGCTTATAGGCTTACGGCTTTACCACACCTTGCGCGTCTCCGCCTCACCACTGCTGAGAGGCTGCAGGTGGTACATTCACTTCATGCCGAGCCGAGCCCCCTGCTGACACCCTGGGAGGCCAGGAGATCCTCAACATGCAACGGCAGGTTCTTCTAATTGCAACTTCAATGGTGACTTGTTGCCAAGGCCTTGTTTACAGTGATGATGATGATGATGATGACGATTGTTTTCTTCTTGCAAGTGTTGTACCTGCCCGGCAGCACGCATGTGCTAGCCGCAGGCCAAGCTCGAGCTTAAGTGTGTTACAATGCTGAAACGGATCTGCTTGGCTAGGCCTGTCCGTGCTGCGGGCACACCAGCATCCAAGTCAGCCTGTGCAGACTTGACAATGGTGAACTGTCATACTCCGTGCAAGAGAGATATAGTGCCCAGTCCGATTACAATGATTCTTGTAGTGATGATGATTGTTGTAGTCTTTTCTTCTGCTGCCCTTGCCGCTTCTTCTTGAGAGTGTCCGGTCAAAGCTCCGATTGGAGGCTCCTCTTCACTTTTCCTGCTAAACTCAACCCGGATCTGTCGATCCTGGGGCCCATGGGGCACGGGCCCCAAAACCCTCATCCCTAAGCTGCCTTACCCATGAGGGATGAAACGGGCGTCTCAAGCGATGTTTGGTCAAGTACACTCCAATTGTCGGATTTCAAGAGTTGCAGTGTGCGAGACTGGTAGCTGATTGTGCAACACACTGGCAAGGTGAGTGTCCAACTGTGCTTTATGACGGCTGTAGCCATAGTTACAGAGGTATTTTTGAAACCTCGGCCAGTGCTGCGAGTTTTGTCAAATTGAGTGGACCGCCCTTAACCCTGACCCCAAACCCTAACCCCTAAACCCTTCAGAAAAGCGCCTGTATGTTAGAGCTTGGGTCTCAGCAAAATTCTGGCTTCACTGCCAGGTCATCGCTGCTCAGGCCTACAGTTCCTCGGATCTACCATTGGCATCCTCTTTTGATAATCTGAGGCTTTTGGGGCTTTTGGGTTGAGGGTTTCGGGTCTTGGGCTGAGGGTCTGGGGTTTAGGGTGCAGGGTATCTATCAGTGGCATTCGTTCCTGACGGTCGTCCGTGCTGGGCTTGGCGGTTTTACTGCACACGCTTCATCGAAACGAAGCATGATATTCATAATCATGGTGAAGATGTGATGATGATGATGATGATGCCCTCTGGATGTAATCGTTCAGAGGCCCCTGTTTTAAGCAGACAACCTGCGGATTGAATATTTGGCTCAAGGAAAAGAAGGGCACAAGCCGTGTAGATTTCTTGGTTCTTAGAGGGTTGGCTGGGTTTAAGTGCCCTCCTTCCCGTTTGATTACAAATAAATATATCCTGTGGGGCAGCACCAGGCCTGCATGCCGGACGCATCGACGGCTGCTTCCGCTTTGCATCGCCAGGGAACCAGGCGGTGACAGGACGTCCATGTGAACCGAGGGTTTATAGGGTTTAGGGTCCTACAATGCAGCCTACAAAGAGGATCTGTAAGGGTCTTGGCTCTTGGGGTTTAGGACTGTTCCGGTAGTTTTGCAGCCTGAGCGAAAACTAGAACGGAGTCCTTAAAGTGGCAGGCGACTCATAAATGGATTGGATCCCTAAGACGTACGACCCCGCCTCTGCCAATTCTCGGAGTGTTCATGCCACCCGCGAAACCGTAAACACTAATCTAAACCCTCAACCCTAAACAGGTCATACCTGCTGTTCTAGTGATAGTCTTAGCAATGTGTGCGAGTAGCGCAAAATGCATACGGTTCAGGTTCAACGATTCAACAGTATAAAGCTGTTGGATCATCAGTTCGGCGCTTTTTGAAGGTTTTTGAAGACCCACCCTACCCTACGCCTTGCATCCCAAATACTCCCCAAACCCTAAACCTAAATATCCCCCAACCCTAAATCCTGAATAATCCCTCAACCCTAAACCCTAAATGATCCCTGAAGCCCCCAAACCCTGAATAACCCCTAAACCCCTAAACCCTAAACACTAAATTCTTAAGTCCCCGGATCGCACCGGACAGGACCTCTTTCCCGCTTCGCCCGGATGTTCGATCCGCCTTCACGACGCTCGCATGAAACTTCCTTTCTTGCACCGAGAACTTTGGGTATAGGGTTTTATGATATTTTAGGGTGTTTGGGTTTACGGCTCACAAGCATGCAAGCAGAACGACAATAGCAAGTCTTCGCATAGTGACTGGATGGTGATGATAGTGACATAACTATAGTGGCTGATAGTGGTGGTGATGAGAATGATGGTCGAAGTGCCTCTGCAGTATGACCAAATCGACCAGCAGACCAAACCCAAGGCTATTCCATCATGGTGGGGTGCGAGCGCTTTGACATTGTGGATGAGGAGGTCAGCAACGATCCGCGGATAAAGACCTTCCGGGTCACCTTCTGGCAGGGAGACAAAAGCACCTTGGTGAAATGTGAAGCTGTCGAACAATAAGGCTTGGGCCTGAAACGTCTACAAAGCTAATCTGCCACCCTAAAGGGGCATGCTGCGAGTGCTTTCAACGCTGCGTCTCAACACCAGAGCCAAGCCAGTCGTATTGATGGCAGCGGGAGCGGCAGTCAGTCGATGTAATATGGGCCCCTTAAGGGGTCGAAATAGTTACGAAAGCTATTTTGGGGCTCCTTATTAAATTACAATCTTAGTATACTCTACCCCAAGGCCATATTCCAATTATGAAGACCCCTTTTTTATACCTTTATCTTGTAGTAGCCCTTGTCGAACGCGTCAAAGAACCCTTGAAGGAACCTTCAAAGCAAGCCTTTGGCGAGGTCCACTCACGAGTCCGCACTCGGAGCAGACGTTCCTGTGGCAGCTTTCGCTGCAGCAGCAGAGTGGCTCGCCGGCTGTCGAGTCCAATAGTAGGAATGCCAGGAATATTTTTTCATAGTAAAATAGCAATAATGTAAACGTAAGAATAGTAGTAGTGGTAGTAATAATTTTGATAGTAAAAGTAAGCATCTAGTGGTAAGCGTACTAAGACTCGTAATAAGTCGTAGTAGTTGCAATACTGATGATTCTCGGTCCTTTCCTGGGATTACTACTACAAGGGTCATACTTACCGACACAGTTGTGATTCTACAAGTTCTGGGCGGGGCTCAGGCGGCTTGAGTTATTCGTGCGAATCGGGGGTGTGTTTGCAGTCCTGCACCACCTCGCCTGGAAAATGCTATGTTAAGACTTGCCTCAACCTGCAGAAACGATCGTCGTGATGGAATATCTAAAGCTCCTAAAGGCCCTGCAACCCTCGATCCTTCATGCCTGAACCCAACGCTGGACCAGTTGCAGCTGTTCAGCCTGAAGACATGGGGTCTTGTTGTGCTCGAGAGCCACATACACCACGCTAGTTGCGGGCGGTGGCTGCACTGTGGGACCCTAAACTTAAACCCCGAACTCCTAAACGGCTCGGCGCCTCATGACTGACAGTGTATTTCGGGGTGTAGTTTAGTCGATGTCTGCTCGTTGGAGTTGTGTGCAAGAGAGGTGCTCTCTGAGATCTAATCACATGCAGAGGCTCCATCACCGGCAAGATTGGCAGCCCAGACCGTTTTTTGTTCAATGCGTAATGTAACCTAGTCACCCCCAAACTGAAAAACCGGTCAACCGCAATGTAGACCAAGCCCGCTCCCCCTTATAGGGATTACAGATAGGATCCGAACAAACGCGCCCTCAGAGAACGGGTGTTCATCAATCAGGGGTTGACATTGCACTTCGAGACCTGACACAGACCTAAACCCTAAACCTTAAACTCAAAACCCTTCGCCTAAACTTCAAACCCTGAACCCCGAGACGTCCCGGAGAAGTTCGTGAACTGCTGGATGACAGATGCCGTCGTGTCCCTGGACATCGCCTCTTGGCTGCACTTCAAAAGAACGGCTCGGAGTTGAGGGTTTCGGGTTCAGGGTTGGTTTGGGGGCATTGCTTTCCCGACAGAAGCGCTCACCAAGCGTTCAGATGTTGAATCGAACTTGCAGAAGCGTGGTTTGGAAGCTCTGGTCTGTGTTCCTCTCCGGGACAGTGAGCATAGTATTGCTGCTTGGTGCTAGATCTACTTACCGAGGCTGATGTTTTGAAGTGTTCATCATCATCACCGTCATCACCATCATCACTACTCCTACTGAAGGTTGTCGATAGTTCTGATCCTGATGATGACTGCAGCTGCTGTAGCGATCAGCCTCAGGCTCGATCAGCCTCAGGCTTAGCCTTTGCGACGAGCAGAGTTTGTAATGGTGAAAACGGAGTTGTTTCTCGTACATGTCCTGCCGCAGAAAAAAACACCCAATAGCCAGATATTGCACACCTAAACCCTAAACCCTGTACCCTAAACCCTAAACCAAAACGCTCTAGAACCGCTGCATAGGCCGAAACGACAGAAGCCACAAGCCGAAGTGATGGTAAAGACAGTGCAGCTGACCCTGCTTGGAGTGACTCCACGATCAAGTCCCCGAAGCTACAAACCCGGAGGAAGGGTAGTCCAGTACTTTATATCCTGTTGGCGCAATTGAGCAACCCAAGCTCATCTTGACCTAAAGCGGATCGAGCCATTGGACCCTGAAGCCAGAACAGGCACTTGAACAACCTCCTACGCCTATGGTCCAGGGAATTAACACGAAGTGTGATTCAGCAAAAATGGGTCCAAAGGCTGAAGACTCTTTTCCCCTTCTTGATTTTACCATCATATCCTGGAGCTGGAATGTAATGAGTGATGTCATGGATAGAACACGCTCGAAGTTAATATAAGGAAAAGAGAATGAAACCCATGCTTTCAACAGATTAAGCACGTACGTGAATGAAGTGAGTGAACCAGGTGACTGAATGATTGGTGTGCTTCCTTATCGTGGGTCTTTTTTGGTTTGTCCTGTTGTGTTTTCGTCTCACTACACCTTACAAGCCCCTACAGCAGCCCATGCCTACGACGGTGCCGTTGAGGAATCCTTGTGGGATGGCACGCTCTTGGATGAATGAAAGCCTATCCTCTCCGGCGGGCCATGTGGAATTTAGCCCTCAGCGAAGCACCGCCTGATTATGCTTCTCAGAAATCGAAACCTCGCCCCTGCAAAATCAAAAA